AATTTCTTATTTAAAAAACCATCAGTCACAAATATTGCTTGAAAATATGACTTATAGGCTGACGTATGAATATTTAACCTTTGATCGATTTATCAAAAAAACCAATTGAATATATTCTGCTCCATGTATTTATAGCAAATCTATTCGTATCAAGTTTGATCATTGAAACAAATTGCTACTCTCTTTTAATATACGAATTATTAAACTTGAATATTATTTTTGTTTATCATCGATAACTAAACAAATATTTGTAGTTAAACAGGTTTGATCTGGTGTCATCGAAAACTAAAGACTAATTATTTATTTATTGTTTTTCTACTTCATCGACAAATTTTATTCAGTAGTTTTTTATGAACTAAAAATAAATACAAGAACTTTCCATTAGAGAAAGTTATTGTAATAATAGAAATGAGAACACAATTCAATTGTTCATAAGATAATAGCAATAGAATATTCTTGTTATGTTTTATTAATCTTATTAAAATATGCATCTAATGACAGAAAATCTTTTTTGAAATCATTTCATTAAATAGAGAATTTGTTGATTTCGAAAAAATAATTTTCTTTTTTATTTCGTGAAGACTTGTTCATATTGTTGTCAAGTTGTTTTATCATAGCTATGTTAAACGCATAATCTTTTTTTAATTCATCAATCACTTGAAATAAGTTTGGATTCGAGGTAGCAATATTTGTTTTTAAGGACACTACCTCTTTCCCGACTCCAAAAATTCATTCTTTTTCATTTTCGATTATTTTTTTTGTATTTAAAAGGACATTTAACTGTCTTCTATCGAATGGCATATGAACGAAAAGTTTTCATGTTTATTTAGATCTTTAAAAAACTCGACTTTTGAGATCTCCTACAGAAAAAAATTACATTCTACAGGTCTATCGTATTGTAAATGATCTATACTAATATAATTCTTTCATCATCACAATATGTTTGTGTAGATCAATAATTCATCCCTCCAGCCTTTTTGCAAGTACATTAATCGATAGCTATACGTAAAAAAAATGAAAAACATGAAATATTGAAAAAATCTCGTCTTATGTTGTTTCGTGTTTTGCTCGAAATCAACTTTTTTAGAGAAAAATTGAAGTTTTTTTCCCAGACATTTCGACCGATTGAGTTGAAATTTTTCGTGTGACAACTAGAATGAAACTAGGCTGAATATATTTTTTCTTTTCTTGGAATAATGTTCTGATGATCTTTGGGAGATCTTACAAAATTTGCTCTAGGGAGAAAAATCACGTTTTTTGACAGAGTTTTCAGTATTTCAGTTTCCCTAAGCGAAGGAAATAATATTTTTGAAAGAAAAAAAAAATATACATCCTAATTTAGTCCTAGTTGCTACAAAAAAATGCAGTCATAAAAAAACGTATTTTGGCTGTTTGCGAAAGGAAAAACTTCAGGTCAATTTTTGGTTCCTGCACCCCCTAAATCTCATAGAAGGAAGCATCTGATAATTCTGAGTCTATGACAATTTTTACGCTATTAGTCGAGATCTATCTACCCTGAAAGTTTCATCATTTTTGGTCGACGCATAGAATCATAAGCGATATCAATTTTCGTGAAAGTATTTCTCAGGTGCGTTTTTGCTATAATTTCAGTTAGAAATTCTTTTACTGTGATAATCAGCAATGTATAATAAATATAACACAACTGACTCTTACGTGAAAATTTGCTAAAATCTAAGATTCTCATCAGAAACGTTTCTGTCTAAAAGGACATGTTAGGTGGTTTTACACTTGTAGACTGTTTTTCTATCTGCTTGATATTATTTTACCTAATACCTTCATTTTATACAAGCTCAACACCGAAAAAACAATACATCTATCAGACTTTCGACTAAAAGTGATCTGATCCATTGTCGAATCTATTGGAAATCAAAAGAATTAAAAAAAAAAGGAAAGTCATCTTTAGCAAATCCATTGAGAGTCAACGCTTATTCAAGATTATTCAGCTGAAGGTACATCTTTAGAAACGAAGAGGCGAAGTTGCCATGTCTGCAATAATACAACAACAGGTCCAAAAAAAAATAACTGATACAAGATATGAGTGTGCTCAATATCATGTTGGTTTATGCATTGTATCTTGTTTTGAATTGTACTATACTTTGAAAAACTTCTAAACATCTGTATTTATAAAATTTTTCAATAAAATAGAACTACAGATTAATTGACGATCAAAAATATAGTAAAAAAGAAATTTTAATTTTTTTTTTCTTTAAATCCCGCAGCCATAGGATTAAGCAAAATATTTGTTAGCCTAGAAAATCAACATATAAAGATCTAAGAAAATTTTTCATGGCCATATTCGGAATCAGCATGATCAATAGTTAGCAATCCCGTACCTTTCATTGAGAAAACGATTAATTAGTTGGAAACATTCCTTCGTAAAATAAAATGTCTTAAATAAAAATTCCAAAATTGCTTAGAAAAAAGTTCATCAATGAAACAAGAAGGCTACTATACAAATTATCAAACTTGATTGTCTTTTTTCTTGTTTCGAAGGTCAATAACTTGTTTTATCATTGATAACTAAACAAATATTTTCAATTAAAGCATATCATATATATATATATATACAATGATTGAAATAGAAATAAATGTCGACTTCGATATGACATCACTTAATTGTTCATGAGCGAAGATAAAAAAAAAAAAAAAAAGGAATGAAATAAATTTATTTAATCAATGGTTGATTTCTATTTAGTTTTTCAAGATAATAATAAGTATATTTATTCTTTGAATCAAATCTGATCCATACATATACATATAAGGAAAAACAATGACACAAAGAACGAAAACTAGAATACACACACAGAAAACACACATATACAAATAAACAGTCTATTTGCTGCTAATTAATTTTATATTATTTGAATTAAGCGCGTTCACCACGAATACGTCGAGCCAATTGAATATCTTTTGGCATAATCTAAAATTTTTTTTTATAATAAATTAAAATCAAAATAGAAAACAAAAAAAAACTTAAAATTTTTCTTTTCTTACCGTAACTCGTTTAGCATGAATAGCGCATAAATTGGTATCTTCAAAAAGTGAAACTAAATAAGCTTCACTTGCTTCTTGAAGTGCACCAATAGCTGCCGATTGAAAACGTAAATCAGTTTTAAAATCTTGTGCAATTTCACGAACAAGTCGTTGAAATGGTAATTTACGAATAAGTAATTCAGTTGATTTTTGATAACGACGAATTTCACGTAATGCAACTGTACCTGGCCGAAAACGATGTGGTTTTTTAATACCACCTGTTGATGGAGCTGATTTACGTGCAGCCTTTGTCGCTAATTGTTTACGTGGAGCTTTTCCACCAGTTGATTTACGTGCTGTTTGTTTTGTACGTGCCATTGAATATTATTTAAATCTGAAGACAAAATAATAATAAAAAAACAAAAGATATTTCCTTGGATTAGAAAAGCGCCATCTTTTATTATGTTTCTTAACATAGCAATTGTTTTTTTTTCTTTCTTCCTCTGACATACCCACTTTTTGACATCCCTCTCCTTTCTTAGGCAACCGAGTAATATTATACAGAACGAAAGAAAAATGAATGACTTTATATTCTATGTCTATTTTAACTTAGGGTATGTTTTTTTTTTGTACTGGTCTATTCTATGTCTGGAACTTTAACTAAGAAGATAACTATTTACATAGGAAAAAAAATTTTAAGAATTATAAATTTTATCTTTTGTTAATGTAAATATTAAGAACGAACCAATGTTATTTTTTTTTACCGTACTTAAACACAGAAAGAGAAAAACAAGTTAGTCATTTAGATTAGTTTGGTTTTTTCGTTTAAAATATTAAATTTTAGAAAAGAAAAAATTATTTTTCCAACTTTTGTTAAATTTCATTCTTCTCATCTTATATTCATAGAAACGAACTTTTGTCGTTTTGTATTTTTCCTCTTTTTTTTTTTTCACTCGCTCGGTTATGTATGCGTACTCGACTGCTTACTTACTTGATGTTGTATGTGGGTCGAGTCGTCGTCAGTAGTATGTGTGTGTGTGCTGCTCGTCAACGAGGATAATGCAATGAGAATGAGCGTTTTACAGTGGTATATATAGTGCAACAGACATACAAGCTCGAACCTCCTCCACCAATGAATTTTTGTGCAGGAGAAGTTTGTGAGGCTCGACTATTGGGAGAATGGTAGATGATGATGCTTATATATATATATATATTGTTGTTGTCTTCGAACTAATGTCGGTAAGATGAGAATATAGAATATTCGAGAATGTTAAATGAAAAGGACATCGATTGACGGTTTCAGAAAGAAGAAGAAGAGTAACGGCCGAGCAACCAAAGAAAAAAAAAGAAAGAGAGAGAGAGGGAGAGAAAGATATAAAACTGTCCATTGTTGCTTCTACAACTTTTGAAGATATTTATCTATAGGAACAGAAAGAAGGAGAACGGAGAACAGGAGGGGATCACAAGCGAACCTTGCGATGCGCGATAGATTTAGAATGAAAAGAACGAACAAATATTTTAACACATAGAACTTGAAGTGATGAAGGATTTTTAAAAGAAACAAATAATTAAGATTGTACCATTATGAATGATAGTCTTCCATCATCAGCTTATAAACGATATATATATAAAGACGAAAGAATCAACAAAAGAAAAGAACGAAAGAAAGAAAAAGTACGCGGAGGAGGAGAAGGAAGAGAACAAGTGACGATGATAGAGAATGACGTGTAACGGAAGAAAAGAAAGATTTTCTCGACACAATAACGATTTCAAATATATTAAGATAAAACAAAAGAATGACCTTAATTAATAAAAACAAAGTAAATTAAATATTTTAATTGGAATGAAAAAACACCGAACGGACATCAGCGCCATCTATGTCACAATGTACATATATATATATATAAATTTATGAAATAAATAAATCAGAAGAACATGTTTTAGTGATAAATGATATATTACACATTCAAATTCATTTATTTTTAGATTAATATATAGAAAAAATAATGAAAAATATTTTTTCTAATCAAGCTATTCGAATGGTACGTGATGAAATAAATGATCTTAGTAAGAAAAATAAAGGAACAAAAACTGAACAAGTAACATCATCAGGATTAGCATCTTCTCCAGCATATTATCATCATCCACCTTCATCATCATCATCTTCTTCTTCAACAACAAATCCTTATTCTCATACAGCAAATTCAACAGCAGGTTATTCACAAAGAAATGCTTATCCAACATTAACAGAATATAATCAAGAACATGAAAAAAAGGTTTTAATTTATTTTGTTTTTATATTTATAATTGTTGCTTTTAAATTCTTTAGAGTTTACTTGGAAAAACTGAATCATTTGCTACAAATTTACTTGGAAATATTGTTGGAGAAGATACAATTGTTTCGGCAACACATACAATAAATAGTGTAATCACAGGTGGACATTGTGCACGAGTACAATTAAAATAAGAATTTACTAAATAGAAATTCATTGAAAATTCTCTTTTTTTTTTCTCGAAAGGATCTTCTTCAAAATGGTGCTATTGTTCAATTAGTTTCGAAAAGTTCGGGTCATTTACTTCAAGTTGTTATGTCTACAAATAATAATCTTGTATTTGATGGAAATGGTACTTTTAATTCATTCAATAGTAAGAATTTTAAGATTAATATTTTATAAATACTCTCATCATTATACTCATTAGAATAATTTAAAATATTCAATAAAAATAAATCTCAATGATTAATATAAAAATTTTATCATTGATTTCAAAATCATGGATGGATTAATTTCAGGAAATATTAAACTATAATAAATTTGATTGAATCAATTTTGTCAATAGATTTACAGTTAAAAATTGTACAAATGAATGAGATTATACAATTATGACCAATAAGAATATTCGAATAATATCATTAGATAGAGATAGAGAGAAAAAGGCAGTAGCTTACGACTTCCTGCCCCTATAACTTTGTCCGAACGGACTGAAATTTTGACGACAGAAACTTGGAAGTATTCTTTATAGATGAAATCAGTTGTTTTCGTTTTCGATCTTCCTATCTGAATTTACAGAGCCCTGAATGGTAGCAGCACTCCGGTTTTAGATCTAAACCTTTACGCATTGCTTTCATAAGAAAAAAAGAAATTTCAGTCCGATCGGACAACATGAGACACGCTGTATCCTCTTCAAGAACCAGAAATGACCAAAAAACAATGAAAGTTTCTTGAAACAATATCTAAAAGACAATATACAATTTATTCCATATGATAGAATTCATATGATTTAACTACTTTTTTTTTTTTAGCTTATTTCAATGTTGAAAAAAATGAAAAAGGTCGACTTCGATTTCATAATAATTATAATTATTTAGCATTCGAAGGCAAACAACCTTGTGTCAAGTCATTTGTATGTTTTTATATGAATAAATTTTGATTTGAACAGAGAAAAAAAAATATTTACATGTTTTTTTTGTTTTGTTCATTTAGCCATCTGGTGCTAAAAATGATTCTAGTGTAGAGTTTCGTGTACATGACATACTTGGTACTAATGAATTATTAGCATTTGAATCTTGTACATGTAAAAATCATTTTATTTCAATTTCAACGGATGGTCATCTGAAAACAATGAATACTAAAGAGAAAAATATTGATGCACAATTTTCAGTTGTACCTATTGTAATTGAAACATTTCTTTTTTTTTGTGGATGCTATTTATTGTTTATTGTATTTGTTTTTTGTAGGTAAATAATCAACAACCAATGTTTCCATATCAAGCACAACCTTATCAACAGTTCAATATGAATCCATATGGCGGATTTTCACCTAATAGTACAAATGAATCCGTGCTTCCTCAACCACCGATGTATCAACAACAACAACCAACAGCACCGCCTCCTCCTCCATCTTCTGCACAAAATTTCTACAGTCAACCATCGACATCATCTGGATTGTATCCAAAATTTAATTGAATGATATTTTTTTTTAATTTGTCCGTACCAGTCAATTTATTTTTTGCGTCCAAAAAGGCTAAATGATTCATGGAATTATTGTATATAGATATATATATTTAACAAAAACCAGAATTGATTATACATTTGTAATCTTAACTTATTTTGGTTATATATTGAAGCATATAGTGAGAAAATGAAATAATATAAATCTAATTCTCTATAATGGTTATTGAATCTTATATTTCTAGCAGAGATACATCTTTGATTATTCTGAAAGTTTTAGTATTGTAAAATGAAAATTCATTGAGATAACTACAAAGATGTTAGTAAAATCAAAATTTGGTTTTTGTCTTGTTTTTTTTTTTTTGCATCTCTCTGTTTAATAACACTGAACTTTGACTAATGAGTCTGTTTACATAAATCTTTTTAAAACATTTGCCGAAGGAATAAAAAAAACTTTGAAATATTACAAAATCTTATTTATCCGTTAAAGATTGATGTTAGTCAATAAAAAAGAGAAAAAAAAATGAAAATTCAGCAAGACTGAAAAGCAAATTTTAGATTTCAATAACACATGAGTACATAAAAGATATATTTGAAAGTGTTTTCAATGAATTCTCATTCTATAGTAGTAAAACTTTAAGAATAAATTCAGTAGGCAAAGATGTATGTATGATAAACATATGAAATTCAACGACAATTGTAGAGAGAGAGACATAATCAAAAAAAACATAATGTGTGTCATTTATCTTGGCTAGAAGAATATATTTCACTATTGACACGACTAGCAAATGTATGGAAAAATATTTTAATAAATATATTATCATTATTAGTTCTTTTTCAAATGTATATCTTTTGATTTTGAAGAGTTTCTACGACTTCAATCTTTGACGTTTCATATATCATTCATTAAAATTTTTCTTCTTCTTTTTCGGAATGACTCTCTTCACTGGTATGTCTTTTCTTTTGGCAATATCGTTTCACGTTCGATTTAGTCAAACGAATATCAAATGTCAATAAACAAGTGAGAAATATTGTAATAAATATGATGACACATATCAATAACATAAATACAGCAGCTGTAATAATTAATTGTTGAATAATAGGTAAAATTTCATCAAAACATCCATTAATATTAATACGTTCTTGTATTTCATCCATATTGATTGTCATATTATGTGATGGTAAAACATTTATTCCTATCAATCATATATAGAATAAAATAAAATTGATATGTTATACAAAAATTATCATACCACAAGTAAAAGCAAGAGATTTCATATAGAGATGTTTATCATTCTAAAATTTATCAAAAAAAAAAAAAAAATACAATCTCTTTTGTAATTATGAATATTAAATAAAAAGTTTTCTTACTTCTTTCTGTTCTCTTTTGCAACATGTAAAAGGCACCGAACAAGCATCTATAAATAATGAATTAATATTAATTAATTTTTAATAAAAATAAAAAAAAAGTCATACCAAAACTTTGAGGAATATTCGAAGATGTACATGCATAATTTGGATTGTCATTCCAATCATTGAATGAATAGACTCCTAAATAGTCAGTCATAAGAAGATTTATACAATAATATAATTATGTCTGATTCGAAAACATATGACTTTTTTGTGTATCTCATACGAAATAATGATAAGTACTTTTCGATTAAATTATGAAATTAACTACAATTATATATCCGAAAATTTTCAATAATTAACAATAAGGAATATTGAAGTATGTGAAGTAGAACGAGATTCAGTGAACTATGCAATATAGGTTATCATGCCACGACATGTATCCTAACCTTTTAATTCTTTTTGATGATGAAAAATTTTCTAAATTAATGAAGAAAATATTCCAACTGTATAACTCTTCATTCCCGAAAATATAGTTAACGTTATGATGATCAAATAATTTTTTTTTCTATCTTTTTCAAATTATCATTCATATATTATCCTAATAGATTAGAACTAGTAAAAATATGTCAAAACGAATAGTTTTTTCCACAGTATTTGATCTATTCAACTTTTAAATCTTTCGCTCGATGGAATTATGACATTTCAAAGCTGTAAGAATGAGTTGCCTAGTATCTAACCGTTTCTTTAATGCATCTAACAATAACAACAAAATATTACAATACTTAAGCCAAACATCAAGAGAAAGTATCTTAATTGTATTTCATAGTCCATGTAGAAATGATGAAAGCGTTATATCTTAAGACATCAGTAACAACAGATCAAACCAGAAGTTCAATATCATTTTTCATTGTATAGAAACGAATTGAAAGACAAGCGAATTTTGACAGTATTGAATATTGACAGAATGAGTCTGTAGGTATTCATTTGGAAATAAACGTCTGATACTAATTTAATAATACTATTATACTATTATATATTTTAGTTAAGATAAGAATAATATTATTAAGATAATATACGAATGATAAATTGAAATAAAAAAATGTGTTTGTTTTTTCATCAAAATATTAACCCTATTTTCGAAAACGAAGAGTCATCAGTACAAATGTTTTAAAGATTTTCTTCGTCACGTTGAGACTCAATTATAGCAAAAAGATAAAGTTGAAAATATGAAATCACTTAGATTATTTTCTTCATAAGCTCAAAATATCATATATATTGGCATACCTTAATATGGACTTTCAACCTATGAACATTACTTAATTCCGTAAGAAAATCTATCGCTATATATATATCCCTTAACATAAAATCGATCATCTCTCATTTATAGGTATCAAACTAAATAGAATTGAGAACTTTTCATAAAGTCTACTGTTTAACAGATATATTTTCGATGAATTCAATACGAAAGAATGAAAATTAATCATAGATAATAATTATTCTTAATGATAGAATTATATACAAGTAGTTCTGGTACATAAATATATGAAAATATAATTTGTTTTAGTTCATTTAGTAATATCATAAGAGTGAATATTTGTTTAAATTGAAATCATATTTACATACCACAACAAAAATAATTTAAATGAAGTTTATCAAAAAAACTTGTCCATGCTTTATCTATATGATAATGTTGTTTTAATCCAATCATCATTGCATAAGCTATTTTATGACGAATTTTTCCTCCCCATATTAATATTATAATAGCAAATATGAAAAAAAAAATTAATGTTAAAAATTGACCAATAAGTGAAATACGAAGAAGATTTAAATTTTCACGATTAATACCTAAACAACTTATTATACATAAAATAAAAAATAATAAACCAAATATGCAAAGAATAATTCCAATTAAATTAAATGGATTTAATGATGTTGTATCTTTTGTATTTGTTGTTGGCATATGACTAATTTTACGATGTTCAAATGAACTCCATAGACCAATGAAAAATACAATAAAACCTAATCTAAAAAAAAAAAAGAGACATTTTTTCATATATGAATTTTTTTATGAAAAAATACATTGATTAATACTTACAAGCCATTGGTGAACATGACACCAAAAGTAAAATATTTTAATAGATGATTAACTCGATTAAACTCTGTTTTTAAACATTCCGAATCAAATAGATATTTAGATGTTTTATGAATTCTTGTTTTCGATAAACAACATTGTTGAAATGGATCTATTAACCATTTTATTCCTGATTTTAATTTATTTTTATACGTATATTCAATATTTAAATCAGGCCGAGATAAATTATGTATACTAATATTACTATGATATGAAATAGAAGAAATTTCTGTTTGATTAAATTTATAAGAAATTGATGTTTGAGATGATTGTGTAGGTATTGAAATCATATATATATATCTTCTATGTTTATTTCGATTTTCACGAAGAATGTATCGGCGCCAGTTAACATATAATTATCTCAGTAAATGAGTTTAGAATTATTTTAACATGTTACATCTCTTCAATATTACCAAAACAAAAAAAAACACAAATTACTTGATTACTTTTGATTAAATATAGTTGAATGACTATGTATTAATTATAAAGAAATTTTACGTAGTTTCAAAAAATCTATAAGAAAAATAAAATAATATTGTTTGCTATGAGAATTTTTATTGGATGGAATATATACTCATTTTATCTTATTTATTCTAGTGAAAAAATTCAAATAGTTGTTGGATTATTATATAAGTTTGAAAAGCGATATGATTTTTCACTATTAAATGAATAGTTTTTCTTTTTAATCTTATTCATAAGTAATCTACTTAACGATAAGTATTCATTAGTAATCAAATTGACTGCCTTTCGGAATCAATTTTTCAGAACTCGTTTCTTACAAAAAACAATAATAAGATTTATAACATTTATTAAAATCTAAAAGATCAAATATTCTTGAATATTAAATTGACAATGAATCTTTGGTTGTATCCTAATCCAGCGGTGTAGCCAGGATTTTTAGATCAATGGGCAAACTTCTCTTGTGTCAAAAAAAACCAATGAGCGAAATGGGTAAGTTTTTTATTGATAGGTCAAAACTTTCTTGACCCAACAAAGTACTAATAACGTAAAAAACAATATGCATAAGTTAGTGTTGAGAATTCTTCAAATATGTATCTGTGCAGCACACATGGACATTTTTCCTGTGAACTACATCATTTCACATTTTGGTTTTTTCCTTTATGTTTCCACATATACTTCATTGGATTTTTCCTTTCTCTTTTATGCGTCACTCTATATGTATATATATATATCTATATCTACATATATATATATATGTTCGTAAGTATTCTCTTGATCTGTGCCCCCTTATTTCGCTTCTCTTTGATCTATCCTTCTCTACCTTTACATGGTTAGTGTTTTCCCAATAAAATCAAACTCATGTTCACCGAAACTTACAGTTAAAATCAGGATTACCAGATCTGCTGATTTTAGTACTTATTTTTTTTGATTTGTTGTCGAATTCCAAATGTTTTTAGATGGCGGCTTTACTATCGAAATTAATTACGAGTATAACTTATTAATATTATAGATACATATTTCGCTATCTTCTTTCCTTTCTTAATCTTTTGTAGTTTCTGAGTTCTGCAGCCACTGACGAGTGCTTCAATATATCAGTAAATATTTGCGTTGCCGAACTTAAGAATGAATGCTAATTATTATTTGTTTTTTTGAATGATTTTGTACACATATTTTTAGGTCAAAAACATTTATTGAAGGAATTTTGAACAAAGGAAAACTTGAAAAATTATATGAAATTTATGTTCTATAACCTTTATTATTTTTCGTAAATAAAGTTTTGGGCTTCGTAAAAGAACCAGACACTAGGTGTCTTTTGCTAGCTTTTTTTGTATTAACTAACAATTGAAGACCAACCAACGGCATATTAAAGAGATTGCTCATAGTCGAATCAAATGAATGCTCTTACTCACAGATCAACTAGTTTAAAACATGAGCTGCCAATAGCGTACACAGACCGAGATGTTTAGATTTTAAGATATTTACAGTTTGTCATGTGCCCACACTACAAAATTTCATCAACTTTTAGTTTTCTTTTTTTGTTATGGTTAGATAGAATACGACTATTTACATAAGGAGAAGCAATATCACACATATTCAAAATCAATTTGACAGCAATTAAAATTTTTTGTTTATCATCCTTTTAATTAAAAGAATGTTGTCTTAGACTTCGTAGACTTTGCTTTTTAGTATGCGTGATACTGTTTTTTCTTATTATGATCAATATCCTTAGCTTACAGTACACAGTCTTTTACTCAAAGCTATATAATGGTTGTGTTGTCTTTCTTTACTATGAAATACTTTTAGAAACAAAGTATGAGTTGATAAACAAAAAAAGTGAAATCTTTTGTGCAGATCTGTCAATATGATAGTCGTTGGTTTGCAAAAAGCTACTCTTTCTGATTAGTTTCCAACTTCGGAAAAAAATTCTGATTTTGAAAACAAAAATTTCTGATTTTTAAGTTTTCTATCTAGCAGTCCTAATGGAAATACCAGAAACGATTCTTTTCTTCATTCTTCACAGAAAGAACAAGTAAAAAGTGCATGTGTGATTCAGACAGAAGAAATAAAATAGAGTTACTATCCAATTCAAAAATAAATAAACAATTCTGAAAAAGTAAGATTTCAATGAACAAAAACTTACTAATAAAAATTACAATGGGCAATTACCCATTTGCCCCTTCCTTGACTACGCCGCTGCGTACAAGTGTGTGAGTAATGAAATTCAGTATAGAATGATCGACAACAAAGTTAAAACAAGGTTGAGAACCGGTCAATCCTCTTTTGATAATAGGAATAATACAAAACATCTGATGAATCAAATTAGACCATGATATCTTATAAGAAACTGAAACTATTCATTTGAAGTTCTATTTGATCATAGGATTCATGTATATGTAAGTGTGATATACCATTCATTATTCTAAGCAATAGACAGTAGCAACAATACATTCAACTAGTGTTATATTAACTGACACAAAGTCTTTTCCTTTTACAACGATAGAGTTTATTTTTATTTATTAATGCTGGATTTTTAAAAAATATAAAGTTTGAGATCTTAATTGAAATGTTTATACGCACAAACAAACAACATGAAAAAGAAAGAAAAAGAAACTACTGTCACAGATCATGCTTCATGTTTTTGACCATCTCACATATTTCATAAACTTAAGAAAAATCTAATTAAACGTATAAATATATAAGACAAAGACAATATATGTAAAGAATGTTTATTTAAATGTTTTGCTTGGTTTTTTTTTTGTATTTATTTGTCATTTGTGAATGATTGAATCATTCTATTTATTTCGTTATTTATTTCATTATAACGTTGTTTTTGATAAATACTGTCGGCTGAATTTCCATAAACTTTTACCATTTCATTGAAATAATAACAAAAAGCCAAAACCTAAAAATAGAATTTTAAATTTCATGAAAAATCAATTCCGAAAATGAATACCATAAAAACTGAGCATAAAGCAAGAACAATGGAAATTAAATTCCAAAGTAATGCACGACGCGAATAAAGTCGAGCTTTATCATGAAATTTTACATCAGCTTTAGCTGAACTTTTTAATGAATAAGCCAATGCAACAAGACCTAGAGAAAACAAAAAAAAACAATTAATTATGCAATTTAATTAATTACATATTTATTACCTGTTGCTGGACATAAACAAATAGCCGAAAAGAGTGAAAACATGAAATAATGACGAACACGAGCAGGTGCTTGTTGAACATCAATTGGTCCATCAATTAAAATAGGTGATGATGATGGAGCTATTGTAATAAAAATGGCAAAATTTATTTTTAATCTTTTTGCTTGTCATTTATATTTACCGTCAATTGTTGGCATTTTTTCATAAGAGAAACTCATTTTAGCTCTTTTTTCTTTTGAATGAAATAAATATCTTAAAATTAAAATAAATATATATATATTAAGGAAATTATTGACGCGATTATTATAAGTTAAGAAAAAAAAAAACAACTTCGCAATAGATTGTTCTTGGAATTTTTTCATTGAATGAAAGCAAGAAAGAAAAACATCACAATCATTCGTACTGACATCTATTTTTGGTGAATGTTTTTTTTATTTAATTTTCATTGGTGTATTTAAAGTGTTATATTAATAAACAATAAGTCGCATGTTATATATATACAATAAGATCTTAAGGGTTTGAAAACAATGCCAACAACGACAACAACAACAACAAATGTTAATCAATTATCAACATCATCACAGAAAGAAAATATTATTGATTTATGTTCATTAGTTGGAGAGACTTTTTCAAAATTTGGTATTTTATTACGTGACCTTGATTTAAGTAATCAACGATCATTATCAAATAATGAACAAGATCAACAATTAATCGGTTGGGATGAACAAAGTGCAACAATGTTTCGTCAAGCTATACAAACATTTGCAATGAGTGTACGAGATATTTCAACTACTGTAGCAGAAAAACGAATTCGTGAACGATAAATTTTTCTTATGTTAATTTTGTTTTTGTACGATTAGTTGTGGTTTGTTAATAGTGTATAGAAAATGAAAAGAAATCCAACTGGAATTGTGTTCATACAAGCAGAGAGTTTGTTCTTGTCACAAAACAGATATATTGTGGTAAAAAAAATTTCTTTAAGAAAAAAAACAAAGATATTAAATTAGACAAGAAGTAAAAATCTTTATTAAATTTTAGATAATTTTCTTTTTTATTTATTTCGATATTAATCGATGGCAAAATACTTTTCTACATATCAACTAGTTAATCTACTTTCATCGAATGAATAAAATCTAAGCTGTCATTGAATTATCGAATGAATTAATTACACCTGAATTGATATTAAAATCTAAAGCAATAAAAGAAGATTCAAAACTTAATAATATTCGATTGTTGAATTGGATTTAAATTCAATTCATTCTCTCATCAATCATCATATTTTATTGACTGAGATTGTTTTCATTCTTATGAATTTCATGTTCAAAATACAATAGAAAATGATTTACCAATGGACGACTTACTTATTTTATGAAAAAAAAAAAAAAACCGTATTCATTCATGCAGAATAACTAACTGATATTTTAAAAAGAAAAAGGATTTTAATTTTTCCTATTCCTTTTTCTAGATTAATTAAGATGCACTTATTAAAGAATAATACATTAAAATTAATAAATTTAATTCAACCACAAATTCAAAAAACTATTCTTCGAACTTTATTCAATCCATTTGCACCAAAACCAATTGAAGCAGCTAAAGATGCTCATTCAAATTTACTTACTGATACAAAAAATGTATTTGAAGTTCAATATCATACTGTTAAACCAAGTTCAATGGTAAAATAAATTTTCTTATCTTTTCAACATAATAATAATAATTATTATTATTATTCGCACAAACGTTGTATCCTCGTGACATTTTACGGAATTTGATCATGCGACATGTTGTCCTGAGAGAATATAGACTATTTTTTTCTTTCATGAATCATGAAAGAATAGAATCATTAGTCCAACTAAAATTAGTTGTCGCACCTTTGTTTTTTTTTGTTTTCTTATTTAATTCGAATAAATTATTTTAGAACATCAGAATTCCAACCATAATGTTTTTGATTTCCGAACATATTTGTAAGGCTTACTTTCTTAATAGAAATAAATTTTAAATTTATATAGAACAAAAACAAACGTTCTTATCAAAATTGTTTCTGATACTATCTCTTTATGGTACGCAACAGTTGTAGAAAATATATTAAAACAACATGAAGCACAATGTTCTTACATTGCTTTCTATCCATCAATAGTTCTCATAGTTAGAAGAATCAAATATAAGAAGCAATCTATCATATAGAAAACAACACTCATGACCTTGTCTTATATTGCAGAAAAGAAGAAGATTCTCAACATCGGGATAATCTATCTGGAATAAACGACTGTAGCAAAAAAAAGAATCTGTTGTCATAAGACTAGGAACACGGAGACGTTCTTATCCGATAGCTACAAACATGGCACGTACCATTCTAGATACTTAAATTATGTATTTGCATCCGTCATAATTAGTTTTTGTTTTTGATGGTAATACTATCGATTCCAATCTATTGATGATCAAAATTAGATATTCACATAGTAGAAAAGAAATAGGACACATATTTGTTTTCAAAAAAAAACATACTGATATATTTCATTAAAAGTACTCGTAATCTTAATAGAAAAAAAAAAATTTCTTAATAAATTATTACATAGAAGGAGAAAAAAACAATCAGCACATTTCTTTCATGTCTCTCTAAAACATACCTTCGTATTTTAATATTCTCTAATTAAATATAGTTCTCCTTTTCTTTTATATACTTCATTTTTCATTGTAAAATTTCTATAGCTTTTAATTAGAATAGAAACAACAAAAATTAGTTGTCTTTAAAATATAAAGAACAAATTAATATATAATTTTAGACTGACTATGAATCAAATTATTGTGATTATGCAACACAAATGCTTGGTAAATATTCTTCAACTGGTCTTGTTCATACTGGTTCATGGCGAGTACATATTGGTAATGTTGAAAATCAATTTATTCATATATGGATGTATAAAAATTTTTCTCATTTGGATGATTTCGTAAGCAATTCTAATAAAAATGCAATTAATGATAAATTAAATCAATTTATTATACAACGTTCAAATCAAATATGTCTTTCATTTTCTTATTTTGGTTTGACATTTGTTTCTTTTTTTATACAAAATAAAAATCTATGTTTTTTTTTTTGTTTTGTTTTCATATAGGAATTCCTCAACCACGTCCAAAATCAGATGATCAATCAAATCCAAATATATATGAAATGCGTTCATATTGGTTGAAACCTGGTACATTAATTGAATGGGGAAATTTATGGCATAAAGGTGTTCAATATCGACCAGATGCAAAAGTTCTTGGTGTTTTTTCACAAATTGGAGATCTTTATAATGTTCATCATATGTGGTCATATAAAAATTTTCAACATAGAAAACAAATGCGTACGAATGCATGGGCAAAACCTGGTTGGTCAGAAAAGTATGAATGTCAATTTTGATTTTTTTTTGTTTTAAATAAAATTCTTTTCTTAAAATTTAAGTGTTGAATTTACAGTCCCATTAATTCGTAAAATGGAATCGAAAATTCTTGTACCATTAAAAATTTCACCATTGCAATAATAAGAACATTAGCTCAAGCAATATTTTACAATTTAGATTGTTCTATTAGTGTAATTTTTTCAGAAAAAAAAAAGCGGTGATCATCTCTATTATCAAATCATTTCGTGTGTTCATTTTTGCATGATTTCGGGTCAGCTTCTGTTCTTTTTGGCTTTCGTATTGTCTTATGTTTCTTTTTTTGTATTTCGATTAAAACAACGATAGAATAATATACTTTGAAGGTTTTTTTTGACTTATATGTGTCTCATTTATTAAGGTTTTTTTTGTTTATTGAAGATTTTGTCTATTTAAAGTGAAGAATGGCGCAAGCAGAAAATGAATCTGCTTTCTGTCCAATAATCGAAGGACCTGCTGATGATACAGCGACCCATGAAACTGAAACTGAACATACTGAAGAGGTAAAAAATGTTTTTTTTCAACGAAAAAAAGAAAGTAATTATTTTTGTGATTATGTTTAAATGTTTTCAGTGTTTCTTTATTTCATTAACAAAAATTTGTTGCTAATTATTATAAAACTATAAAACTATATCAAATCGATCTATTTCTTTTTTAAATTGAATTTCTTCTATGTAAAAAAATAAAGCAAACTTTTTTTGCAGCAGGATGACGACACAATATATGGAGATGTAAGTTATATGTTGTGAACAATAAATAGCTTGTGTAGAATGTATACATTTATTTATGTATCATTCTATTGTTCTAAACTATTCACAACTATTCTCTACATTGTGTGATAACACCGAATTTTTGTTATTCTATGAAAAAAAAAACCAATTGTTATCATTCTATCACTTAGCAACTCTTTTGCACTTTTCTTTCGTATTGAGTTTTTATATATGTTATTCACATTATAATTTATTGTATGGATAATTTATCGTTATATGCAGTCACGAAAAAATATTGATCATGGGGACTGATGCAAGTAGTATGAAAGACAATGCAATGAATTCTCAAAAGACATCAAATATTCATAGTCCAGAACAGGAAGAAGCTTTTAATCATATAAATCGGTCCATTGGGCAGAATCAGATTAACGACTCGATCGAAACGATACAAGATGCTAAGGTAGAGAAATGCTGCTATTGATCATCGATATTCTTTTATATACAGGGTAGTTCAAAAGTAAGAAACACAGAATTTTTTCGATTTCTTCTTTATAGAGATGGTCAGTTAGGCCTCATATTTGCACCATATATACTAGATAATACTAGTAAAAGATGTAGTATATGTTTACTTTTTCGGTTCAATAATTTATTCAAAATCATACAAATAAATCTTACTGCTCGTTTGTGAACTATGAGAGAAATTCGATGTTTTCCGATTTGCATAGTTTTGCTTATTTATCTTGATTTGTGAAATGAAGCTCATTGAATTACATTTTGTACTGATTTAGTCTAAAAGAGGTCAAAATTAATTATATGAAGTTCATTTTATAGATTGGGATAAGCAAACAAGACTATGGAAATCGAAAAATATCGAATTCCTTATACACTTACAGATAGACGATAAAATATATTCGCATGCTTTTGAACAAATTATTACACTCAAAGACTGATCATATGGTAAATTTTTTACTAATATCATCAAGCATATGTTGTATAAATATATATAGCCTAGCTGGCCATGTGCGAAGAAGAAATGAAAAAAGTTTTATGTTTGCTTCCTTTTGGACCACCATG